ACCATATTGTTGGTTTTTCATATACTTATTAAGGATCTAGTAGGAGTGCTTACCGGTAAAATTAGTTAGAGTATTGAATCTTATCAGCAAGTGCTTACCGGGTAAAAAAAAAAACTCCTAAAAACCTATGAATATATTGAAAAACCTCTTCAAAACCTCCTAATATAAAAACCCACATTATGATTGCTTGTAAAACATAGAGATTAATTCCTCATTATGGACTAATTGATACCAAGAAATGTAGAAGTCACTTCATACAACACACGTCCACTTTTAGAGTATAAATGTACTCCTAGGACTAATCAAATTATGAAACAACTTCAAATGTAAACGAACGTAAATGAACATTAACGAACATAAATGAACGAACATAAACAAATGTAAATAATAGGKGATCCGTCGSTAAAAGCTACCTTATTTTCACATCAAACATCCCTTTTTAACACACTAAAATGGTAAAACATAACAACATTGATGTGTTTTTATATGTCGATAGGTTCGGAACACTTTGGAGCGAAAAAGGGACAAAAAGAAGATTTTTGACAGCTTTACRAGACTATGGTATTTCAAGCATATCTAACTCGTCCGAGCTCGGATTTAAGTTATTCAAGATGATCTGGAAAGGTAACAAACATCCCCACAATTTGTAAGTTTTGAGTTTCTGCAGATTTAGACTGCTTCTAAGACGAAATCGACATCGAAGGTGGAAAAGAGCTGCTGGACAGCAGCTGATGACAGCAGCCACGAAAGTCTGATCTTGCCTTAAGGAAAACTTTCGTGCATGGGCGAAACACAAACTTTCCAAGCGCAGGGGCCGGATCTAATATTATATATTTTCAAAAATACCMAAAATACACTATACAAAGTTATAACGTAGAAGTTAAACTTTTACCCGGTAAGCGTTCACCAGGTTTAAGACRCTTAACAACAATCCATTTTGATGGCCAAACATGTTATGAGATAAAGTAAATGAGGGTGATGTCTCTTGCCGGTAGATGCTTACCCTGTAAGCATTTGGTAAACAACCCCTAACAGTGGAGCACAAAGAACCTCAGTCAATAATTTGTAATTAGTGAATAGTGAAGTTTTAGGAGAAAAACAGGCATTATGCAACGTTTACAAAGAGTTAGATTAGCTCAAATACAATCAAAGTCATGC